TTGTGTTTATACCTATTTCTTGCATCTTCAGTTTAAACCACTAAAGCAGATGGTGAATATTCTTTAAACTTACAAAGCTCACTCTTGTTTGGCGATTTGATAAAATGTATTTCCATTATATATCGAGATAAAACCTTACCGTACGGATTACCATATTTATGCATGTGTTTGGATTTTACATTTTGTTACGAAAGGATGTTTTCTCTCAAAATCTTTATTTATGCATTCCTAATGCTTTGATCGATCCAGTTTTCAGGACTATGAAAATCCGAATTAAATATTGAATCAAAATTTGGGGCAAAAAGTATTCAGCATTTTTTTTCTTGTAATCTTCACAGTTAATGGCTTATGCATAAGAAATAATGATGTATAAGCAATCCACTTTTAACTTTGCATAATATAAGGATAGCTAAACCAATCATTGTCCGTAAAAAATGAAAAATTCTTGCTGTACATAAGGGAGTAACACAGGCCTTTTCTACTAAATATTCATAAACACTTTAAATTAACAGCTCCGCATCTATCTAGTTCAACCATGCACCGCAATTAAGACAGTTCTAACGTACAATCTCGTCTAAAGCAAAGTTTTAAAATAGACCGGTAAAATTTTATATACTTACGTTAGGACATTTTATTGTATGTTAGCTTTGTGAATGCTAGCTTTTTTTATTCTAAACTTAACTGAAGAGCTATATTACTTATATGAGATGTCTATATATTACTTGTCGTGACACTTTATACAATTTTCATAGGAACTTCTTGATATGGAAAATTCTTGGAATCGCTTTTTTGTTGGAACGGAAATTTAAATGTTTTTCTACGCATAATATTGGTATGATGGATTAAGACTATTCTACATATTTAGCTTTCCACATATTAAGTGTATGGAATATATGCACTTAGTAGGAAGTTTAAAGATTTCGGTTAGATTTTATGAGCATTTTTTTAATAAACTCTTTAGCTATCCTTAAATCCCATATGGAACTATGGATAAGAGTATGTTTTGGGGGCCAAAATTAGATAAAATTAAATGGTCTAATGAGATTTACTTATTTCATTTTAGAAAATTCAACAATTAATCAATAAATCACCTTGGGCAGCCTATGACGATTCAAATTCTTATTCAAGAGTAATTGAAAGTCCTAAAAAATACTTTTATCTAATATAAAAAAGAAGATTTATGCCTTCTTAAGAAGCCAGAAAGTCAAATCCTATTCTATAGATTCTGCCCATTCTTTTTAACATCTACTTTGGATGCAATAATCGGAGCCATGAGTTCACTGCATTGTACCATATTAGCAACTCTTAATTTTCATAGAAAGCAAGTTATAAGTCTAAAACCAAATCTTCAATCATGTTTATCCGAAAGGAATCTTGCTTTTAATCTTTTAATTTCAGGATCTTAGAGCTGAGCTCATCACCGGTTGAAACTGGTCACTTACAAAGTGTTTTAAAGTTTTTGGCTCAATTGGCTTATAAATTTTGGTGTGTAAATTGCATGCCTTGAAAGTTAATCATTTAGACTAAGGCCTGACTTACATATATTGCAAAATTCATTTCTTTTTCATTGGTCAAGTCTGAATGCTCCCTAGTGTTACCTTGCCTCATAGTTTCTAAATGTTACCATAAAATTTCGCCAGTGATATTCTAACCATTCTTCAAAGTGACCTCAAAGTCAAATACATCTTGAGTATTCGAGCAGCTAGGAAGAAGGTGAGGTGAAAAGCTGTGAAGCGATCCATTGCTTCTCAAGATTTCTTTTGACATACATAATGAGGAAATATTTAATTGAAATTTGAAGGTTATTTCTTCTAATTCTGCGTTATTGCTTCTTTCCAACGACATAGAGAATTATTTAACTGCTTAGAACCGGATGAGACTGTAAGCCTGACTGAGGCAAATCACTGGAGGAATTACGTAGAAATGTTAAGTTCTCAAGAATCTTTTGGTTTATAGTTTTTAAGCTCATTTCCTGATTGAGTAAAATCATGTGATGAAGAGATTCGTTGGTCGATCCCACCGGAAGATGATTACGGATTTATTTTCCCCTGCAAGAAATAGAAGTGAGTTTAGCAATACTAAAGGATGACTTTTGACGCTAGTTCTGACCGGCTAACCGGATAAAGATATATAATATCGCATGTAGCTATTAAGACCAAGATAGTATGACCTTGGGATTGGTTGTGGTCTCCTTTAAGTCTTTTTCCCGTATATAAGTAAAACTACCAGTAAATCAGTAGTATGAGATGTATTTACCCAATTTCGTTTAAGGTGATGAAGGACTGGTAGAACAAGAATTTTCCCACAATGATATGAGTCGAGCTGACGTTTTCATTGAATTTCACATAGCCTTGCTTTCTCAAAAGTTGTTCTCATCCAGGCTGAGGTGGACAGCAGTTTCGACCTCGCATGGGTCGTATCAACATCCTTAGCGGAAGTCGAACCGTGGCAGCGTAACATGTGAGCTTGATACGTTAAACACTCGGCCACGAGTGCCTTTGGGTCACAGAGCAAATATGAATTTCAAGAAGGGCCAGGCCTTTTGCCATATCACATTCTTTGGTGGGATTATCGATGAATCAAATTTATATTTGCTATAACAAACAATGGTCCTTTAACTCCACTAACACTACTCCTTATATAAGACTAACTCATCATTGTAGTAAATGAATGATGGCTTCTAAAGAGTTTAGGTAAAAATGCCCCACTTAAATTTTGCTTTATCTGACTAAGGGAAAACTATTTTTAATTCCTAGTGAGATGACCTAATTACCACCCTTCAGAATTCTGCCAAAAATGCACTTCGATCCATCAGCGACCTATCATTGCATATATTGTTCCCTCGTTTCTAGGACTGTAATTTGTCTCTTCTGGGTCATAAACGACATATTGTAATTAATTTAGTTCAGGAATTACAATGTTACAATTACTCAAAAGAATTTATTCAAGGGTTCATTACACGGAATGAGGCCAATAAATTTCGAATTTTACCCCGATTAATCTTCTTGAAATATTCTGTATAGTTAAGTATAGGATTTAAAGATTTTTGCTTTAACCTAAATTTGCTATCAAAAACCCATATACATTAACATTTTTTTAGTAAATAAACTTGCAGCATGATGGTTATCGAGCTATTTGCGCTGACTTACTTTGTATATAGTGACGATGTGTCATTGATATTATGGAAAATTCTTATATCGAAAAAGGAATAAGTGGTTCGCATTACATTCGGTCTTGCAATGATTGTTCTATAGCTTTGCTCATGCCTTAAAGCTTTAATAACTATTATAGAAGTGGGTTGACCTCGTTGTCTTTACTTGGTTTTATTTTTAGCATTAAGTATTGTTTCGAGACTACCAGCAACTCATTAATATGAGATGTATTCACCCAATTTCGTTTATGGTGATAAAGGACTAGTAGAAGAATTTTCCCACAATGATATGAGTTGAACTGACGTTTTCATTGAATTTCACTTAGCCTTCGTTCCCAAAAGTTGTTCTTATCCAGGGTGGACCGCAGTTTTAGCGGGAGTCGAACCGCGACTTGTTGTCAGGGCGACTTAGTGGAACGCACCTAGTCCGAAGTCGTCTGCCATAGTAGTTGTCATGATTCCCAGCATCAGACAATGAACTTGGTACATTCTCAAACGTTTCAAGGCATCATAGTCGGCAGCATCAGTGAGTTTTGCCATTCTCCGACCATACCAGAGGTCACAACATCTTAGTATTCATATCTTTAATAACTATTAATTGCATCTACTAATTTTTTTTATTAGCCTTAGCCCATTCTGTGATAATTCGATTAGGCTCTATTCAGTTTATGCAAATCTTAATCTAGGCTTTTTGGGCGAAAGATGTTTTCGAGACCCATACTTTACTTTAAATTTGTAGGACCACTAACGTTTACCATTATATTCTCTCTTTCCTTATACAACTAAGAGACTATTCGTTATTTCATCACCTTATTATTGCTTTAATCTGCAGGTGAAGTTTCTGTACTTCAACCCCTTGATCGAGAAACCTTACTCGCCCAGGTTGCTAGGCTACTATTGACTCCAAGCAATCCAGCTGGAAAGCTTGCCGCCCTAATAACTGAGGCCACGCAACATGAAGCATTTGGGCCAAGTGGATTGCAGGCACTGGCGGATGACCTGTTGCCAGGTCTTTCAGTAGCACCTGCCAGCAACAGCCTGGCTGAGCTAGTTGTGCCCGTGCTGCTGGAGGCTAGTGATGGTCGACCGAATCAAAGACCAGCGCACTGCCTTTTGCTGCTCCATTTGACAGACATTAATGACCATGCTCCTCATCTCCTTTCAATGGAGCAAGAACTAGACCAAAAGGTCGAAGTGGGTGCTTTTGAAGGAAGTCTTATAACAGGTATGTCTTGAAGTGTAAGCAAGTCCTAATGTGTATGCAAATTTATATGTATTTTATAAAAGTTTCTACATATGTAGATATAATAGGGCTTCGTTTTTTAGATATCAGACAGCCATGTTGCATTTGGTGTAACCTTAATTAACGTGTCCTCGGCTTTCTGAACAATTCTTTCTGCTCCACCAGTAGGATATACCCAATCGAATTCCGATTTGAAGACAGACTAACTTAATTTTTAAATGCCTTTATTCATATTTGGGCAGCTGTTCTGCTTCACAGTGAGTCTAATCAAGGATTTACATTGCCAGTATAGGAGAGCAATATACTAAAAGATAAAATCTATTGTATTTAGGCAAAATTAAGAAAAATACAAACTAACATAAGAAACGATTCTCCATAAATAAATTTAATAAAACACAACAGTGAATTGCAATGACGCGTTACGGTAACACTATTAAGCTTATTTTACTGCCTAGGCTTACTAAACTAAGAGATACTGCCCCAC